GAGGCAATTAGATGTAAAACACAATATTTATCAGCGTTTTAAATTGTAAATCAGTCAGATTTGACCTGAACATGACAGGAAGGTTGGAAAGAAGGAACTGACGGTCAGTCAGAAAATTGCTAAAACTTTAAATGTGTCCACCAATGCAGTCGCAAAAACCATCAAGTGCTATGAGGAAACTGGCTCACATGAGGACGACCCAGGAAAGGAAGACCAAGAGTCACCAAGAGGAAAAATTCATCTGAGTCACCAGCCTCAGAAATCTCAAGTTAACAGCAGCTCAGATTAGAGCCCAGATAAACAATGAGTCCGAATTTTGAGATCTTTGGTTCCACCTGCTGTGCCTTTGTGCAACACAGAAAAGGTGAAGATGGTCTCTACATGCATGGTTGCCACCATGAAGCACGGAGGAGGAGGTGTGATGCTGTGGGTGTGCTTCGCTGGTGACACTGTTGGAGATTTACTCCAAATTGAAAGCATCGTCATTCATTTTGGTCTTCATTTTGGGTGTCATGGTGTTATTAATAGGGGCAATCGTGGCTCAAGAGTTGGGAGTTTGCCTTGTAATCGAAAGGTTGCCGGTTCGAGCCCCGGCTCGGACAGTCTCGGTCGTTGTGTCCTTGGGCGAGACACACCTCACCCGTTGCCTGCTGGTGGTGGTCAGAGGGCCCGGTGGCGCCAGAGTCCGGCAGCCTCGCCTCTGTCAGTGCGCCCCAGGGTGGCTGTGGCTACAATGTAGCTGCCATCACCAGTGTGTGAATGTGTGGGTGGATGACTGGATGTGTAAAGCGCTTTGGGGTCCTTATGGACAAATATAAAGTGCTATACAAATACAGACCATTTACCATTTATTTGCGTACAGACATACATACACACGTTCTCTCTCTCTCTCTCTCACACACACACCAGACAGAATGTGGTTGTGGTTTCCTGTACAGACATATGTCTAGTTGAAGAAGTCAGCAGATTGCCAAGCATATGAGGGGAAGTTGAAACTAACTCAAGTATTGTAATGATTAAGGAAAAAATAAAATTAATGTATTAGAACGGCAACATCAAAGTCTTGATTTCAATCCTGTAGTGAGGAAACTCACCACTCACACCAGCGTAACCATAGCTTGGCTCCTTGTAATAATCAACCAGACACACCCTTTTCTCCATGTTGTCAATTGGGATAAAGACTCTTTACCCCACCCGACAACAACTTTTTTGGCACTACTTTACATATTCTTAGAATTGAGATCTTTATGTCACTCCAAAGAACTAAACACTCCTACTGGTAAGTATTCATCGGTTGCACAATGAGGCTTTTTTTCTGCAGGAAACCTTACTAAATCATGAGTCAGTGATTCATTTAAATATTGTCCTCCTGAAATGTTGTACTCTAAAATGTAAACTGCTACAAATACACATGTTATAAGGCCCCCTGTAAAAAATATCTGCTAATTAAATTATTTTAGTATTTCAGTAGTCTGTCGATTATTCTATGAGATCTTTGAATCATCAGATATTTTTTAAATGCTCTTATTCATGAGCAACAGTAAATGTTCAACAGAAGGCAAAAGAGAAGTCTTTTAAAATGAACTGCTCGTCGTTTATTATTTTAGAGACTGCAGTATTTGTAATTGTTTAACTGCATACATTAGTCTAAGAGAAATAAGCGGTTTTAGTGAATTTATTAAATAGATGTAATGTCGAAAACATAACTTTAAAAAGAGCTGCGTACACGCTGGTCGCGGCAGTGAGCCCAGAGAAAGACTACAGGCGAATTAACGTCGGAACAAGTGGGCAGGACCCGAGTCAAACTTTTTTCAGCTTCCAGGTGAGCGACTACTGCGAGGAATAACGGTGATTGACATGTGACCTGGCGGTAAATACGTTAGAGGATTACCTAGGTAACCAGACCTCGGAACGCCCGCGAGCGGCCAGTCGTCGGTCAGAGTAGTCACTTACTTTCCTATTTCGTTTGGTTTCTTATTCAACCTTTTCAAGACGTTGTTGCGCTAATGTTGTCTCCCAACGAGAGATTGTAATATGAGCATAAATTTAATTAAAGTATGAAAAAAAAAAAAGAGTAGTCACTTACAGCCGCTTACTCTGCGACACTGACGTGCAACGAGCAGTCGCTTTCAGTGCGCAGCTTAAGGCTTTAGTTGATATTAGTAGGAGGTTAAACAAATTCCGACAGCGTTATATCTACCGGATGAGTTCGATTTGGTGTGACAGTGGTCTGAGTGTGGGTGGGTGTGCGTGTGTTTAGAGGAGGATGTGGTAAATGCAAGAATCCTGAATTAATCAACTTTCTCAGATTTTAAGCTTTGACGCGATGTTTCCTGCTGCAGAAAACAGTCACTCTGATGGTGTAGATGTTAGTAATGAATGAATAATAATAAACAAATTCACTCTCCAACCCAAAGGCCCCAGGACAGCAGCTCGGGGGTTTGCCCCATGGATATATTTCAAATTTGCCGCAGCTGGCTTGAACACATTCTATCAGAATCTCTTATCAGGTTACCCCAACTTGACAGCCCTCGCAGCAAAACTGTTGTGCATGTTCGGAACCACGTATCTTTGTGAGCAAGTTTTCTCTGTAATGAGCATAAATAAAACAAAACTGCGCTCAAGGCTCACGCACAGGCACTCGAATCACATCCTGAATTTAGCTGCTGCTCAGGATGTGAAGCCTGATATTGATGAGCTGGTGAAAGCTAAAAGATGCCAGGTATCAGGAATCAAATAAACTATGCAACCCCACTGAAAGTGCTGCATGAGACACCCTGATGTAGTTCTGTGATCTGTGATATACTGCTGTGAATCACTAAAGCACTGTGTGTTTGTGTGTTCTTTGTCCTCAGAATTTTCAAATAACTTGAGATGTTTTATGATCAATAGCTATGTTGTGCCTGTACTATTTTGAACATACTGTCCACAGGGTCTAGATTTATTTTTATGTTGATCATATTAAAACAAAGAAAACAATCTGAAGTTGTTGTTTTTAAGTTATATACACAATGATTTTACCAGTCCGGCCCACTTGAGAATAGACTTTTCTCCATGTGGCCCCTGAACTAAAATGAATTTGACACCCTTGGTCGAGCACAATAGTGATGGGATTTCCGGCTCTTTTTAGAGAACCGGCTCTTTCGGCTCCGAACCGGCTCTTCAGGTTGTTTTGTTGCTTTAATTAATTTATTATTAACAAAAATATAAAATTATGCACAAAAGGAATTACTAATGCAAAAAAAAGTGGTTTCATTTATATATGTCTATATATAAATATTTATGGTGGCCCTTAGAGACAAAACAAGTACAAACTCCAAAACACATTTCTAGCCTGAACTGAACTTCCAAAACAGAGCTACCTAGATCAGCGGTCCCCAACCCCCGGGCCTCGGACTGGTACCGGTCCGTGAGTCGTTTGGTACCGGGCCGCAAGAGTAGAGGCTCAGGTGTGAAATGTATGGTTTTCAGGGTTTTTCATCGGTTTTCAGCGTCATTTTGTTATCGTTTTTATTGTTAACTCTGTTTTCCTGGGTCTTTTCATGTGTGTTATGAATAAATCTTCTTTTTTTCGGTACCGGTACTAGTTTTATTTTGTTGTATTTATCCGCGACACCTTAAAGGCCGGTCTGTGAAAATATTGTCGGGCATAAACCGGTTCATCGCGCAAAAACGGTCGGGGACCGCTGACCTAGATCACTTAAATTACACAATTGAAAGCATATGTGTGTTGTTTGTGTATTTATACACAAGCACTCATATATATTCAAATAATAAAAAAAAAAAGTTCATTTACCTGTTACGACACACCAAATCCGGTCGTTGGTACTTCCTGGCTTGTGTAGGCACTACGTAACAAAAGCTCAACACTGTCCCTAGCATCCTGGAGCACTTCTGTTGTCTTTTGTACGTGTTTTGGAGTTTTTACGTGCTTCTGAGTTTTTACGTGTTTTGAAATTTGTACGTGCTTTGTCTGTAGGGGCCATCGTAAATATACTTTTATTTATTCACTCCACATAAAATAATAAATAAATTATATAATACAAAAAACAACTATTCACATTTCAACTTTTAACTATTTAAATTTTCAGCTTTTTCCTTTTAAACAAATTTAAAGTGAAACAACACAAAACACTGCAAATCACAACACAATTAAATATAAATTAAAACAAAACAAAAAGAAGATGCACATTCTCTGTCATATGGGTCTGCATGAATAAACTTTCTGAATCCTTTATAATCCACAACTGATAATAGTTGTAGATGATTACTATACCTTTCTAATGTGACGTTGTTGTCCCTGCCTCTCTCTCTCCCTCCCGCTCTGTTCCTGTGCTACTGCCAGTGTAACTACCGCCCCTCCCCCCTCTTCACAGCGCAATGGTGTGCAGAGTGAAGCAGAAAAAACGTGCAACAGAGAGGGTGAGCGAAAGAAAAAAAAACCCCACAGCTTGCAATAAGGAGCTGGCTCACGTCATTCACGGCTCTAAGAGCTGTTTCGTTTGCGACCGACACATCACTATAGCACAACACCTGGAGCTAAGGGGGCAAAACAATCGCATGAGTGCTGCTGTTTGACTGAGGAAGAATAAAGTAGTCGTGGTAAGCCAATCACATGACCACTTAAAGACAAAGACGCTGAAGGAAACGGTTTCCAAGGCCTAATCCGTGGATCGACTTCCTCCGAGGCGTGGACGTCTATCAGCAGAGAATGTCCCTTAGTCTGTAACACAGTCAAATATATTCTCAAGTAATATTCAAGCATGCCATTCAGCGTGTTAGTACGAGCTCGGGAGCAGCTTGGGAGAACAAGAAAACAGAGACTGCTTTAGATTGTCTTCCCAAATTGACTCAACTTTATTCACAAGTATAACAGTTTATATAGAGGGTAAAATTCATGAGACAGCAGATTATCAGTTTAAACCAGTACAGACCAAGATAAGGCAGCGTCTTCCTGCCCATGGGTGAAGAAGCATCCTTTGTGTAGTGTATCAGTTCAGCTACAGTTGTGATTATCTCAGCGACATATTTTCAAGGCACAAAACAAAGAGTTCTTACATTAGTAAAGGGCAAGAGGGGTGAGGGGTGGATTCCCATTCATTTTCTATGGCAGTCACTTTTGACCGGGAACGCCACAGATGTAACAAAGCTGATTAAAACACTCAAAATTCAACGAAAGCGGTGCTCATCGCTTTTATATGTTCAAGTGCATAGTGTGGAGGATGTTGTAAGGCCTTGAGGCAACCAGATGTAAAACACAATATTTATCAGTCTTTAGTTTGTAAATCAATCAGATTTGACCTGAACACGACAATAAAACAAATACAAATGCAACAAACTGTGACAGCATCATCGTCACTGCCGCTTTATATAAATAAGACTTTATTTACAGATGTGCGCCTAAATAGGTTTCTATCCTTAGTTGGCGACAACTGAGTACTACGTAGTCATGGAACAAATGACACGTCAATGTAAAAAATTTGCCTTTTTTATAATGTGAGGTTAGCGTGTGTGACCTGAGTAAAAATCAATCAAATATTACGGGAGTGGCTTCGGTACCAGGACGGTCCTGCCTATACCAGGTTTAGTACCAATCGGACTGACTGTAATTTTGACCCATAAAGTGCCCATTCCAGAAACACAGATACAGTTTGTAATTCTGCGTCTGTACAGCACCACAGTGCATTTTAAATAAATCAGTCGAGGTGTGATTGAAGCACAAACTTTCAGCTTTAACTTAAGTTGAAGTGGGTACTTCAATCATATCAGGTTTCTCAGATTTAGAGTCTGCCGTGGTTGTGTGCACAGGCCAAATTGGAAAAATTTAATATGGTGTTTAGCGCTGCTGCCTGACAGCAACATTATCATTATTAATACTGTGTGAGTTGCCCTGCATATGACAAATTGTCTCAGGGTGTTTAATCCACTGAAACACAAACAGCATTGTTCTAATAATGTATATCCTACTACAGTAAACGTTTTTGGAAAAAGAATTATGAGGTGAATAAAACCTCAGCATGTATCAAAATGTGCAGAGTAATTGAATGGGGACAGTGTAAACATCTTAATCCCTCCCTGCGCTTTTGTAAAATTTACATTCTTCATTGTGGACCAGTAAGCTAACAGCGGACATAAAGATCATATTGAATCATTAAAATGATTAAAATAGAAAAACTCTTCATCGCACTGTAGTAAGAAGCAGGTGTTTAACATCCACTTTGTGCTTGAATTTGATAAGATTTCCATACGTCCAAAAGCTGGTTAGAGCTGTGCAGCAATGTTGTTATGACAGAAGTCCAGTAACAGTTGTCCGTGTCTGATGGCTTCCAAATCATAAACATATCATTACGAGGAGGATCTGTCAGTGGAATACCCAGATGTTTCATGCACAGTCCCACATACACATCTTCAATGTAAAGAGCTCTGACATGCTGAGCAGCCTCCAGTATCTTCCTGGTTAAATCCAGAGAGAACACATAGCCCAGTCCAATGGCATAAGTTGGATAGACTGACTCGGGGAAGGTGGAAAACGGCAAAAACCATTTAGAGTTTTGGTCTCGAAGAACAGGAGCAAACCTTACCATGTTTCCTGTCATGTAGAGATGTTGAGGGGCCTTTAAAAGCATCCCGACAAGGTTGTGCACATTGAGGAACGTGTCGCTATCAACCTTCATGGCATAGGAGGTCTGGGGGCAATGGGTGCTGAGCCATTCAAACATAAGCATTGTTTTGATGGTGAGGTTATGGTAGCTGTCCAAGAAGTCACTCTGGAGAATGTCACGATGGTCCCGGCTTTCACGTAACAGCTGAGAAAGTGAAATTGAAAGCATCATTTAATAAATTAATAATTAGTAATGATTCTTCAGTTAACTCACTCATTGATACAGCAAACATGATACATGTTTGGTAGAGTGGTCTGAAAAGACTAAATCAGATCAAGCCACATCGAAATCTTATAAGTAAAGGAAGTTGTGTTTGTACTGGATTTTCTTTGGCTGCTTGGAATCTGATCCTTCTTTCCTTCCTCTGCTTCGACTCTCTTGTGACTTTTCTAAATCATCTGGTGTAGCTCATTCACCCTGTACTATGTATTCCTGATAATAACAAGAAGGGAAATGTGTGGAAAGTTTACTACAATGGACTGAAGCCACTCACTTGTTCTTCAATGGTCTCTGCTCCATTTTCCTCTCTGGACTGTCCCAGTATGAAGTAGTGGCTGACCACTTTGCCCTGCACCGTTGTTACATTCCCCCACGTGCTGCGGATCATGTGACGAGCCTCTCTGTTGTGGGGTGCAACCGGGATCATTAGAACCAGGAATGGGCTTTCCTCCCGACATCTGTTCAGTTCATCCAATATGAAATGGTACTCGTGTGGGTACGCCACAGTGTACTGCAAGGAATAATGAGACTGAGATCTGTGCAAGCAGAGAAGGCTGGTGATTTTTGTGCATTGTACTTGATAACACTAGATTCATATTTTCTATTTGAATTTTGCATCTTTTCTAAAATGAGCTTCAGAATGAGAGATAAAATATGTATGTTTTTAAAAAAGAAAGAAAAAAATTAAAGTTAATCTTCTCTTGTCCAGATCTGACTTGGCTGTTTGTGCTGTCTGTGGAAACTAGTATAGCAAATGTACATAACACAGTCAGCGTTATTTAAGTTTTCTTTATTAGATGGGAGATAGGTCATGTAAAGCAGGAAATCAAACCAAACCAGGGCCACAAACCAATACTGACAAAACCCACTCTATGTTGAAAATACAGAAACCAAGTCTCTGATGTTACAGCTGAATAAAATGACAACCCTTCATTACAAACTTCCCATATTTCTTCTCTGTTCTCTTGTTCAGCTTCAATTTTGTCACCTCAGTTCTTCTGAAGTGACGAGGAAACTAAGAAGTTGTGACTGAGGCGAGGCCGACCTCAGCATAGAGCTTGTACTTCTCAAACTCTAGTGCAGGATCCTTTCCTAGCAGACAGGTGCTCTTCCATCTTCCATGCTATAAATTTTGTTTGACCACCCCATTTCAGAAAATTAGAGAACCCTGAGCTGCCACTAATAAAACATATACTGTGTTTAATTAGCTAAAAGAAATCGTTGATACGTCACAGTCATAATAATTATGAACATGTATTTCTTCAAATATTTTAAATATAAATGGATAAAATGAGATGAAGAACATCACGGTAACACGACTACATCATGATGACTTTAACTTAACTAGTTAACTAGTTTCAGTTCAGAAAAACATCGAACAACCAACTGATCACTTTTGTGACTAATTTGTAGAGATAATATTGTTAGTGTTGCCTTTGCACAGATTATATGGAGGCCAGTGAATATACTTACCTCGTCAACTAGAGGAGGTACACTGTCGTGAGAGGTACTTGAGTTTGGGGTGGATGTCCTTGGGTTTAAAGACCATGATTCTTGGAAAACGGAGCTGTAGATCACTAAAGTCCCGACCATGATCAAAGCCGCCACATACCACAAGCATCTTCTAAATTTTATCCACGGAGTCCTTTCACTGCAAAGAAGTTAAAGTGATTAGTATTTATCAGCACTGCAGAAGCACTTAAGAGTATCCAGGGCAGTTCATTTGTTCTGCATTTTGTCATGTTACAGCTGATTCCAAAATGAATCATGTTATGTTTTTGTTTTGTTTTTGATGTTTTTGATTTTTTAATAAATTTGCATGTACTTGGGGTACTGTGTGTACAATTTTGAGGTGAAACATGATTTCCATCCATTTTGGAATAAGGCTGACACAATGTGGAACAAGTGAAGGGCTGCGGTGAAGCTTACTGTTGCTGGGCTGAAATGAGAAAGCACTTTGACTTTTGCTTTCACATCAGACACATGCCACCACTCTAAGAGTCACAATGTTTTTCCACCCTGTGGCACTGCTGTGTGCGCTTTATTGTGGACTTAACACAAGTTAACTAAGAATTTCTGCTAAACTCTATCAAATTCTACAAATTACAATAATTGAACTGAATTGAGAAAAAAGCTTAAACATACCTTAAGTTTTTTTTTTTTCAGGTTATTTAACAGAGTGTGTGGTACTTAAAAAAAACCTCACTTCCTGTTCTCAAGTCAGGGCTCTAACACATGGAAATATGCATATGCATGTTTATCTATTCCCAATATTGTTACAACGACACAATTGTACACAATTCACATGTGACCCACCCGTCACCACACAGCTGACAACAAGCCACATAAACTAATTACACTATTTTGTTTTTTACTTGAATTTTATAGTTTCAGATTTAGAGATAAAATATTGATATATATATATTGTTAGGGATTTTTTAAAAAAAATAAATAAAGAAACAAACAAAAAAACAACAAAAAAAGAAAAGTTAATCCTTTCTCATGCAGATTTGACTTGGGTATTTATGCAGTTTGTGAAAATCAGTATACCAAATGTACATAATGCATAGTCATTTCACTTAATTAGGACCTGTAAAGGAAGAACTAAAACCAGACACAACAATAAATACTGACAAAACAGAGGTTTCTACATTGCTAAAGGCAGAACAGAAAAGAAACCCAACTTCTTAAGGCAGGAACCAAAACTTTCTCTGATGTTATAGCCTATAAAACGGCAACCCCAGAATCATAACTCCATTTTCATTCTCACAATTACTTTTTGTCAGCAGATTAGACATGTGACCAACCCATCTCCAGACTGGTGACAACAAGCCACCTAAATAATATCTGGTCGTAAGCTAACATTAATGCAGTATCGAATGTCCTAAAAATGAGACTTCCCTTCGACAAACATTTTAATTGTATTCTCATTTCATGAGAATTTATTCACAAAGTGTCCAAGTCAGTTTAACAGACTCATTGACTTTGATGTTGTTTTACATCCTCCTCTAGAGTAGATAGACTTGGACACCCTGCATATTGACAGCTGAGGTAAACAGGTGATTGACAGCCTACACTCACAACAGGTCATAGGGCGATTTTGAGGTAAAAATATCAAAATATTATTTAACTGACACATATCCTGCTTTTACTCCTGATTTATTTCCAAATGTTGAAATCATTCAAATATGTTTAAATTTAGATGGCACCCCATAACAGTCAACGTGTATAAAGACAGTGTGTCTTGCAAACATCACATTTTATTTGTTTGATATCTGTTGGCTGACTAAACTGTGTTTCTCTTACAGTGGTCACCAAAGCTAAGATTATGCAATGCAGTTGGGAAGGCTAAGAAAACAGATCTGACTGCAATCTGTAATCCACTGACATCTGACAGTGAGATTTTACACACTGTAGCTTCAAGCACAATCAAATTGTGTCTAGATTCAGATGAATTTCTTTTGTGCAAATTAAAAAATATTGTAAATACATTTAAAAAAACAAAAAAACTGTCTTATTTATTGGGACATCAATTTTAGGATGCTTCCTTTAATTGCATGATATAACTAAAAGTTATCCTTTAAGCACTGAGTGAAGTTCTTGTCATTTGTTAGTCTTTTCTGTGTATGGCAGTCAGATAACCACAACACTTGCAACTTCCTTGTAGACTTGCTTTTTGTGACCACAACTATTTTAAAGTTTCCTGTTTGTAATGTAGAACCAGATGACGCATCAACACATTTTCATTTGAAAGTTATCTATACATTTCTGAATATAATTCTTTAATGTTATATGAAGCCCCAGTGTGTCTCAAGAATAACTTATATTATTTGGGAGTTTGCAAGAAGTCATCAACAGCAGCTCAAACAGTCTTATGAGTCTTAGGCTATAAAATCTTGATAACTACCAGGTTTAGTGTACTAAATGGGGAACATCAACAAGCTTGCAATAGCAGAGTTACAACAACCAAAAATTGAGGAAGTTACTGTAAGTGCACAAAATATATAGGTATGTGCCACCTGCTAATGTCCCTAAAGGCATTTATTCAGTAGTTAATCAGCAGAATGAAAGCAATGTAAAAAGACTAATGTGACACCCTGACTACTCCTCACATTTAGCTCTGAAGTGGATAGAAACAAAAAGTCATCTGCAGATGTATTTTGGACTTTTCAGGCTAGTCATTTTTAGTTTATAACTGAAACTAAGGTTATGTGGTTTAGCAGTGTCTCACTGTCACACCTCATTGCTGACAAGTACTGGACGAGTACATATTTATGAAAACAAGAATTCATTCCTACATAGAACCACTGCTCAGTTAAAGAAAACGTATTTGCTAAAATCCAGAAAAGGTTAACAACTGTATATCGTTTATCATCTTTATCACTTATGTCTTTTCATATAACTAGCAACAAAAACAAACAAGTACACAGCAACAGACAATACAGCATTTCCATTACATGTCGTGTGGCTCCTTCAAATGAGAAATTATAACAGCTAAACACAATTAAACGCGTTCTAGCCTTTCCATTCGAATCATTAATCTGCATTTTATAAAGACAACCAGAGACATGGTACAGTGTTCTTTTACAATATTTGGTTTACAGTGTTTGTATTACAGTCTTTGGACAGCTTGTGCATGACAAAATTAACTGGGGAGCAAATGTTTAAAAACATGTTTAAATATATCACTTACAAAACAGGTAAAAAACATATTTTATATTTTTTTTATAAAAATAAAAAAGGTAACAAAATGAAAAAAAGACAAATTCGATAAATGTTAAAAGTAAATAAACATAATGCAGTAGTTTTAAATAACATTATTACTAGAATATTATTATAAAAAGAGTTTCAAGGCATTGAAGCAACAGCAGCTACAGAATGACTTTTGCCTTTGCTGCTGTTTGCTATCAAAGCCTCAGCAAAGATTACAGTCAGTAATTAAAAATGATATATTTATACATTGCTACTCAAGATGTAATAAGTCTAACTAATCCATGTCATAGCTGGACATAATTTCTTATAAGTAAAACATTTTCCATTTTAGGACCACAGTGTGCCTACAGTCTGTTTCACATTTTTATGTCAATATATTTGAAGTAAAACAAAGAATTAGACTTACCCTTTGGAAATGGGGAGCTCTGACATTTTCAGGAGGTGAAGAATGGATTATTTGATCAACTTCAGTAACTTATGTAAATGCAGAAGTTGGCAAATGAGCTCTTCGTGTTGATCTGCCTGTGTGGTTTGTGTTGCACAAATGGGTCATGACACACTGTGAGCACCCTTAGACAGATTCTGCTCTGATGTCATGTCCTGACAACTCTTGATTATCTGTGGATATGCTTTTAGTGTTTGTGCGTGTTTAGGCACAACATGACTTAACATGCTGTGCATTCCTACCAGTTTGAGTACATATTGCCCCACTGCAAAAGCAAAACAAATGAGATCTCATATTTTTAAATAGGTTTCTCAAGCAAATGAAAGTTGATTTAAAAACAAAAATTATTCACAGGGACAGTGCCAGTCTACTTTAAACATACAATAGTAAGACAGATCCTTCAAAGCTCTGACTAATCTCTACCCTTCAATTTCTATCTAAAGGACTGGAGAAAGTGGTTTTCAGCATAGAAGTGTCATGATTGTTTGTATGAAACTGTTTGGCAAAACTAAATGCTAGACACTAAACACTAGGAGCATGGAACGCGAAAGCCGAAACATGAAACCTGAAACATCAGGCGGGAGAAGAACTGGTTAAAAAAGCTGCAGCACCTCTGTTAACAACAGAGGAACAAACAGCTCCTCCCCCATTGCATCTATTTCTCAGTTGACACAGCCACACACACGCCATCTGCTCTGTCAAGCCAACATTTTCACCTCCCCCGTCCATTTTTTTAGATGTCAAACAGAAAAATCAGAGACAGAGGCAGGTCAGGACAAAGCAAGGATAGCGGTGGAAACTGATACAACTGCAGCAGGGTTGCACACTGAGTGTGAGACTGCACTGAAAGGAAAAAAAAAAAAACCCCAATAAAAACAAGGTGGTGTGTTTGCAGTTGTGCGCCATAAACCTCCTCAGGCAGGACTAAATGGCAAAATTGCAAATTGCTCCTGTACCTACAGAGACAGGAATGCATGCACCATGTATTATAAAACTCACTGGGGCCTGACACAATGTATGAAAGGCAAATTTTGACAAAAAAATCCACAACATTGCTGCTCAAACATTTTTATTGGGTTGAAACAGGTCATGCGGTCTCAACCTACAAACTTGGCGAACCTGATAAACCATTTTACAAAGGACTGGTCACCCCACATATGTCAGTGGCTAAACCACACACAGGGAAATGGGGGCCTTTGGGCAATTTGCAGTTAAGTGTGACACAGACTGGGAGCCATTCCCAGGCTGCACTGGTATACAGTGTTTACCATTGCTGGGGTCATATGTGTCTTTGCTAAACTGTACAACCCTGGCAACAAAAGCAGCACACTTAACGGGGCAAAACCAAAACTGACAACCTTTTAAAGTTACGCTAACCGGGGCAGAGGGTACTTGCTGAAATCCCAGAAATCCTCAGTAAATAAGGTGGTTCTTCCCTGAGCGTGTGTCAAACCAACACACCTTTATAAATGATTTGTCACCAAAAGTATTTTTCTGTAAATCTCTGTTATCTAACCCTGATAACAGTTCTGTTGCTCGCAATAAATCAATTTATGAAATAAAACATACTGAGAAAATATTGCTATGTTTATTGGAATAAGCACACAGGTTTCCAGCTACTTCGGGCTCAGCTAGCTTTGGTTTTGCTCACTGCCCTAAAAATCGTTCGGTTAATTAAGTTCTCTAGGAGCTTGTGCCATCAGGTTTATTCTACACACTGTCAAGCAAAACTAGAAGCTAGTATAGAAGAAATTCCCCTCTCGCCCCTGGGAGCGGTCTTTAAGTTCAGATCCTCTTGTGACAACAATACTTTCAGAGGAAAACACAATGAGATGGATAACAACAAAATAATATCTATAAAATAACATCCGCACTCTTGGTCTTTATCCTTCAAGTTCAGGTCCTCTACCAGAGGCCTGGGAGCTCTGGTAGATGGTCCTGCACAATATATTTGCTGTTCCTAGGACTGCGCTCTTCTGGACAGAGATCTCGAGTGTTATTCCTGGGATCTGCTGGAGCCACTCGCCTAGCTTGGGGGTCACTGCACCGAGGGCTCCGATTACCACTGGGACCACTGTTACCTTCACCCTCCACATCTTCTCGAGCTCTTCTCTGAGCCCTTGGTACTTCTCTAGCTTCCCGTGTTCCTTCTTTCTGATATTGCTGTCATTCAGTATCGCTACATCTCTCACCACAACCGTCTTCCTCTGCTTGTCCACCACTACAATGTCTGGGTGGTTAGCCATCATCAGTTTGTCCGTCTGTATATGGAAGTCCCACAGTCCCACATTGAAAAACCCAGACAGATAAGAGATAAGCCTGATGTATTAGCAGAAAAATAAAGCATTTTGTAAACTACAATGTGGTAGTGTAGCATAAACAGGAGGGAAATTATAGAAAGGATCAATAAACACATTCTGAAATATAAGCTATTCAGCACTTTTCAGTAATCTGAAGAAATCTCTCTCTCGCTCTAACCTGTCCTCAGACCTTGTTGTGGCTCCTCTGCTATCCCATATGGAAAAGAAATAGAAAAAACTTATAAAAGACTTGCATCAGATGTGGCCTACTTCATATAGTGAATCATATAAGGCTCATATGATTTACTCATGGAAGTGGCCACTTTCATATATTGTTTTAGTATCCAAAACATACAAGTTTCATTTATATAATTTTTCTAGGGATCTTATATCTGTTTTCACTCTTGTATGCTTTTCACACAAGACAGATACAAACTTTATATCTTTATATAAGATTTATATAAGATTTATATATATCTTTTCCATATGGGATCAGTTATCCAAAGCACAGTTAAAATCATGTACTAACTAGTACATCACGTAGTTAACAGTTTCTCAGTAAGAGTATCACACACATATCTGTTTCAAGGATAACATTGGAAAAAGCGAAACTGGCAGTGTTGCCTCGGAAAGCACTCGCGCAGACGTTCAGTGTTTATGCCATTGCTTCCCTGCAAGTAAAATAAATGTTTATTAAGGCTGTTGTGTTTTTAACATGTTTTAATACTTTGTATCTTGTTCTATTTAATCTGAACAAGCCCCTAAAAACAGTCAGTGATCACTGTCGGCCTCTCTCGGTTTTTATCACCATTGTTCATTTTAAAGCTCAGTTTTTAAACCCTTACAAGGTGGAGATGAGCAGGGGAGAGTAGTGGTGGTGGAGGCAAATAGAGAACACGAGAAAGGAAAAAATGTGAAAGAGAAAATAAAAATATAACTGATAGCTGATACTACTGCTTATCTTTCCCCCCACTTTCTTCTATCCAAATCAGCAGAGAAGTGATAAAAAGAAAGATGATCTTTCAGTCTTGATGATTGCAGCACCCAGCAGCACAGCATAGGTGTTGTGGGGGAAAAAAGCAGTGATCATTTCGATGTAAACTATGTATCATTTATTGGATGTGACTGTTACTGATTATCTTGTTCAATATAGCGAACGGCTCTTGGGGGATTTGCACATGGCGTCACATGCAAAATCTTAACTGACTGTCAGACACTCAGACTGAGTGTCTTTTTATTTATTTATTTATTTTTTACTGCAAATGAGTTAAAGTGTTATTGATCTTCTAAATAGCACTTAGCTGTCCACTGCTGGATCAACTGAGAAACATTTTGCCTCTTCCTATCTCAGGATAATGTGGGCGTACTTGTAATAATGGAGTCATAAGATTACCAAGAAAATAAGCTTCTGTTAGGAATGTTACCACAAACTGAATAAGTATTACTGTAATGAGACAGAATATGTAGCCTTATTCAATAAAGTGAAACCCAAACTACTCTTCACATGTAACCCAGAATGGAAACGGATACATATTATTTGTACCCTTAGGTCCATAAGTTGTTGTCACTTAATGTCAGATACTTACACAGTATTACATACATTTACATACAAACATTACATTAAAATACATTTTAAAAAATGTTATTACACAAATAGTTCACAACAAGAAAAAAAACATGAAGTAGATCTATTTGAAGTCAAAAATAAAGGCACATAAGTCAGTAGTTTTACTAATATTATTACTTTGTTGTAAAATGAAGGGTTTGTAGGCATCATAGCATATCCGAGTAAATATTACGGTCACTATATAAGGGGGTATTATATTTGTGCACTGCTACTCAACCCATTAACTGGCTGTAATATGCCCTGCTATGGAGTGAATCATCCAGACAAGCTTTCCATTTAAAAACCACAGTGAGCCTTCAGCCTGTGCTATACTTTCACATTAGCATGTTTGAAATTAAAGGAAAAATTAGACCTACCCTTTGGAAACTGTGTTCTCCGGCATTTTCAGCAGGTGAAGAATGATTTCTGGTATAAGCTTTGGTACAAGACAAGATCGGAATAATTCCTTTTTATTCTGTAGCATTGCGCTTGTAGAGGCTCAGACCAGACATACTTCCTCATTGAGACCAGAGGCTCAGACCAGCCACAGACCACTGTGAAGAAATATCAGTGGCATTGTAATGAGCTGTAAAGATCAACTTTACCAGATATGTCTGGATACGAGCTGGAGCATTTCTTTTTACATAGATTTACAGACACCTTGTCTTTTTTTAAATTTTGACTGATTGCTATCTAAAGCAAATATGGAAGATACATCATGAAGAAAAATACAAGAATAATAAAACCTTTAAAACTGCTTCATAAACAGTCACAAATAAAAGCTCTTAATTAAATAAACAGTGGAATCGATGGAATACCTACCTCCCAACCCTCCGACTTTTTTTTGTTCTGCAATTGCTGAATTGATGTAAGTTCAATCAGATAAATCCAAGGAAGGAAATCCCAGAAAGCTGATTCTGTTCATCTGGCTGTTGCATTTCAGTAGTAGTGACTTCTTCTGTTTTCTGGTGAGACGGAACAAATGAACAGAATCATCTTTCTGTGAGTTGAGCAGTGTTTCACAATAAGAGTTTGTCCCACTGATTAGACTCGACGAGACTTTTAATGTGAAAAAACTTTATTGCAAACAAAAGAAAAAGCTAGCTAGCTCATAAGATTAAGTGCACCCCCCACCCCCACCCCCCATTTAAATCAACAATTAAACTAAAAGATAAAAAAACTTATAGCGCTTCACCATAGAATCCATATTTAGCTATACTTTCATGCAGCACTGTATTCTATGCACATACAATTGGCTCGTGCTCATGACTGATTTAGAACAACATTTTAATCTAACGTGCCATTCTGTGCATCTGGGGAGGAAGCTGAATACCTGAAGAAAGCCGCACAGGCACAACGATTAGTGTAAGGTACACACAGAAAGGCCACAGCTGGGTTTCAGCTTCAGTACATGAAAGGAACTAATGCGTGAGAAAAACTGATGCTCACATTTCTATTAATTAGAAGCTGATAGCAGCTTCAAGTTTTAGACTGTAATTCTTTTTAAGTACGAGTATGAAGGAGGGTCACATATTTAATACTGCCTGGGATTTTAGCGGCATTATTAAAAGAGAATTGTCATGCTTTCTAATTCTGCAATCACACTGTCCGTTACAGTTTCAGTGATGTGTGCAGTCATGATAAAAAAAGTGCAACCTCTTTCAGTTCTAAGTTTTTATGTATCAGGACAAATAAATAGTAATGTCGTCTGTTTCTTGGCAGTTACTAAAAACGGAACCTTAGCTGAACAACAACATAGAGTTTATACGCTGTGTCATTTATCAGACAGAAATGAAGCCAAAATTCAGAAGCAGTTTTACTGATATGCTAAAGCGTGGCCAAAATGCATTTCCTTTAACAGTGATGATAATGTCTGAGGTTGTCTGCCATGTGGGATGCTTGAGAAATAGATTTGTAACGCAGTCAGCTTGAAAAATAAGGAAGTATGTAAATTTGTCAGACAAGTTCTTGCCTATACTAAATAAAGCTGATACATTACTGCTCTTATGTACATTGAATTCCAGCAGTTCACGGTGCTGATTTCTGACTTACATAAGTAAGTTAGCTTTAGGTAGAAATTAAGAATATATACTTTTTACTAGCTTCGTTTGCTAGCATTTGCTAGCTTTTACTGTTGGTTACTACATGGAGAAAATAAAAGCTTAGTTATTGTCAGAGTGAAAGCAGGTGAATAACAACAAAGGAAACAATGGAATGTCACCAGTATGAAGAACAGTGCACCAAATTGTGCTGAGTCTGCTGAAAGAAGTAGCCACTTGTGTGTGAGCGTGCACTGTAGCCCACTTCAAACTTGAATCAAATTCGAATGCTCACCTAGATCAATGTTTTGAGTCTGGCTTGACAGTAAAGACTAGCTATCCTTACAGATACTCAGAGAGAGCTGTGAAACATATTGTTTGTGCCATTTTGAGTGAAAAGTCAATACATTTGAATCCTGTTTACAAGAGGTAAACTCCATGCATATAACTCCTCTGCACTCCAGCCGAAACTGTAAATAAAGTATCTAAATAAAGTAAAGTATGATAAATAAAGTATCATATTTGAAACTAAGGTTTGAATCCTGACTTAAATCTGACTTCTGAAACAATTTCTGTGTTGAACTTTATTGCTGTTGATAATAAATAATAACTGTGACTTCTTACTGTTAGCTGTCATGTCAAACAAGGTAGTATTTTTATTGTCTTTGTCTCTTAATATTGCATTTTATTTTGTTTGCATTGTTCCAGATGTGACAGGAATGTGCATCATTGTTCTGGGAGGCCTCCTTGTTCTTCGGAGTGATGACCTCCATAATGTCTCCAACACTGGTACGTTTTTACTGTTGCATTTCAAAGGGGAACAGAGTTGTGGTGAAATTTCCTTTTGATTTGCGGGTTTTATTCACTTCCAATTATGATACCTCTTAGCCCCCAAGTGATTATATGTATGCTAGACAACTTCAGGGCATGCTCCTAATGAGATGAAGGATGGTGTCCTGGGGGATTTCCTACCAGATCTGAAACAGTGCATCACTGAGCTTCTGGACAGTCTGAGGTGCTACCTGGTCGCACTGATGGAGCAAAACATAGCACCTCAGAGGTGTTGAAAATTGATCTTTCAGGCAAGAGGAACAGAGGAAGACCACAGAGAAGGTTCATGTTCATGTAGCGAAGGGGAATATGCTGGAGGTGGGTGTGATAGAGGCAGTGATGACCTCTAAAGGGAAGAGCCAACTTGGCAGACTAAAATTGTTTTGTAGTATTTGGGCTTTATCTAATGATCTAATGATGTTACCAGAAAATGTCATGTGGAACTGTCATACTGATCTCACTGTGACTGCTACTGGTTTCAGTTGCATTTTGAGATGAGTAGTGTCAGCTGTTTGGAGAGAAACTGTACTTTGAACTGTGCTTTTACCTTTATTTTTATTTTTGCAGAAACTTGAGTGCAAGTAAACTACATAAAACAAAATGCTCTGTTATTACAACATCCGTTAGCATGCACTAGATTAATGTTACTGACTAAGGTCGATTGATTTTAACATAATTTTTAACGGCATCACATACTTTGTTTTTGGTTTTTTTTAAGTTGTTGTTTTTTTGTCTACCCTGTAACCACAGTCTTTAGCGGAAGTGTTTAATCTACCTTTTGAGTGTGTGAACATTGCAAAGATTCAAAAGTTCTTGCATTTTTAAACTCAGCTCGATTTGATAACACAGGAAGTGGAAACTTGTCAGCCGCAGTCGAGACGGACGACTGCCTGAGAAAACTATCATTTGTTTTGTCTCGTGGGATCTATTTCTGCTGTGGTAATTGACTGTAGTGTAGAAGTCATCAGTTTTTATGAAACTGTCTTTACAGATTTCCCAAGCTGCTTAAAAACTGGGAATGTATTCAGTATATTTGAAGTGTTTTTATTTTCTAACACACGGGCTCAGCTGATGACTCAGTCTTGCTGTATATGGTTTTGCAATAAGTGTTCACATTCAAGCTCAAGTAAAACCTGTAACATGCTGTTAATAATGCTGTTTGTATAAAAAAAACAATGTATAAATGTCACATGTAACTGATGTAACTATTTAATAAGTGCTATAATGTTGTTTATCTATCCATTTTCTTCCTTATCCGGAGCCGAGTCGCGGGGGCAGCATCCCAAGCAGAGAAGCCCAGACCTCCCTCTCCCCAGCCACCCCCTCCAGCTTATCCGGGTGAACACCAAGGCGTTCCCAGGCCAGCCGAGACATATAATCTCTCCAGCGTGTCCTGGGTCTGCCCCGGAGCCTCCTCCCGGTGGGGCATGTCCGGAAAACCTCACCCAGGAGGCGCCCGGGGGGCATCCTTGTCAGATGCCCGAACCACCTCAGCTGGCTCCTTTTGATGTGGAGGAGCAGCGGCTCTACTCTGAGCCCCTCCCGGATGGCTGAACTTCTCACCCTATCACTAAGGGAGAGGCCAGTCACCCTTCGGAGGAAGCCCATTTCTGCCACTTGTATTCGCAATCTTGTTCCTTCGGTCACTACCCACAGCTCGTGGCCATAGGTGAGGATAGGGGATTGACCGGTAAATTGAGAGCTTCTGCATCACTGCAGCCGCTGCACCAATCCGTCTGTCAATCTCCCACTCCCTTCTCCAATCTCTCATGGACAAGACCCCAAGATACTTAAACTCCTCCACTTGGGGCAGGGTCTTGTCCCTGACCCGGAGTGGGCACTCCACCCTTTTCCGGCTGAGAACCATAAAAACTAGAAAGTGCATTTTCTGAAGAAACTGCAGTGTGAATGCTTGAATCTGAATGTATGCATTGAAATGAAATAATTACTGAATTTAAGTTAAAAATTTTGAATGAGATTAAAAAAAACCCCGAATTTAACCTGAAAACAAAAGTGCTGAACTGCTAAAAGCTGAAGGTTACACAGAAGAAGAAGTTGGAAAAAAGCTGAAAATGTTTTAATTGTAAATTAGAAAACCCTAAGAAATGAGAAAAGAACATTTAGAGTCAGAAAACATCTGAATGAATATTAAAAGGTCATATTCTTTGAATCACTGAATGACTAAAATGTGATCCCTCCACTTGGATCCACACAGTTTAAAAAGTTTAAATGTCTGAGCTTTGAAAGACAGTGTTGGAAAGAGAACAACGATGGTGACATTTTGAGGGTAAAATGAAGGCTGTAACACTGTGGACACAGCAGCAGTTGAAAGAGAAGTGTTTAAGATGAATTTTGGCAGAGTGGCAGGCAGAGCTCGTTAAGCAGGCAGGTGTGAGCCTGGTTGCTATAGTGACCGCACCCAATGGCTCCATACACACGACACAGACATGCACCTCACTTTTGCTGCTTAAAATGAACAGAAAAGTCAGGCCGAAACAAATCGTTCCCAAATGAAAAGTACATGTCGTACTGACAAAATTCTTTCACCGTGAGCGACAGCCATGTCTAGTCTACCTAATTCTCAGTTTTCATGCCTGTGGAGTTTATTATATGGACGTGGTGACAGTGTAAAGACACCATGCTCTTCTGATTTTCAAACGAACCTTCTGAGCCATTTTAACATTAGAGTCTATGGAAGAGTTGGAGGGAGGAGGCTGTGCATTGGTGACATTTATGAAAGAACCATAACACCTAGGACAATAGTAAACACATTGGATGAAAGAGGACAGCCATGGCTACGTTTTGAGGGTAAAATCATACCTGTAGAGCAAACGCTGCGGACACAGCAGCAGTTTTAAAAAAGATTTTAAGATTAATTTTTTTGCTCCTCTCACTCTAGCAGTTGAGCTGCCTCACTCTAGCCCCAACATTCCGTCCCATACACACCCATTATAAACTCTGAAACGGGTGAAAAAACATCATGAAACTTAAACTGGAACTGAAGAAAAAGTATAATAGATATTGAAAAGATAAATACAAGTTGAATAGTTGAATGTCTTGTCTTCGT